CTGCCTGCCAGACCACCCCCACCCAAACCCGAAGACCCGGATTTTTCGGGCGGGGGGGGGGAGGGGTCCGCACGTGTTTCTGTTCGACGCCTCCCGACCTCCCCCCCCCGCTGGAACTCCCGGGCAAATCGGGGCCTTCGGGTCGGGTTGGGCGGGTTTGAATTTGGTGGGTGGCGAAGTCTGCCCGACCTCGGCGACCGGGGCCCCTCCCAGGGTCCGCCGCGTCCAGCTTCAGGGGGGCACATGCGAACACTACCCCATGTTACCTTTTATACGCACTTCATTTTCTTCAATTTGTGGTTGTTCACTATCTTTTTTGGTGATTTGCGAAACTTTGCTTGTGATATTTAACCATATTCTTGCTTTCAACTTTGCAATGGTTACTCAATCCCATACCATTCCTAACAATTCTATCACAATTTCCCCCTCAGAAATCGTGGGGGGCAGGGGAAGGGGTTCGAATTTGGCCCCCCAGTGAAGTCCGCCCAACGTCGGCCCTGGGCCCCCTCCCAGGGGTCCGCCGCGTCCAGCTTCGCCCCGGGCCCGCGTCTGGCGGGCCCCGGGCCCGAAGGCGGCTCGTCGGGCCGGAAGAGGCGGAAGGAAGGGGCCCTGGGACAGACAAATAAATACACACAGATAACAGGATTCCCCATATTTTCACCTATCTTCTGGGTTTTCGTCTTCCCCCCCACGTCCCATAGTTTCCCATACTTTCCTGGGGATCGTCGATTAATTGTCTGTGTGTGTTTTTTCCCTCCTGACAGAGGGCATCCCCCCAAACCCGGGGCCTCCGGTCTCGCCCAGCCTTCCTGCCGGTCGGAGCGGGTGCGGGGCCGCGTCAGGGCAAGACGAAAACAGCCTCGAGGCAGAATCGAAGCGGTGCAGACCGGAAAGCTCTCTCTGAAGGTCGGCGGGCTTGGCGGCCGTCTCGGGCGCCGCGGCCGTTTCGCAGCGTTCCAGAGCGCTCTGAGAGCCTTCTGGAGCGCTTCTTGGAACGGATTGACTTCGATTCTCCAGCATGGGGGAGGAGGGAGGAGGGAGGCGGGAGGCGGGAGGGGAGCCAACTCCTGGAACAAACGGGTCCTTGACCCTGGGGCCTTCCCGCGGGACCAGCTCTTTCCTCCTGCACCGCTCTCTGGCACTCCCAGGGCCCGTGGAGGGCCCCACGAAGCCAAAGGCGGCGAAAAACCTTAGGACCCGCTTCCCTCAGAAGAACGAAGACTGGTAACAAGAATGATAAGAATAAGAAGAAGAAGAAGACAAAAAATAAGACTACGAAAAAGAAGAGGAAGAAGAAGAAGAAGAAGAGGAAGAAGAAGAAGAAGAAGAAGAAGAAGCTGGAGGGAGCAGCCCGTCCGACAGACCCAAAGCCGACTCCAAAGTCGGCTGAACGCAAGAGTGACCCCAGGCAAGAGTGACCTCTGGTGCGCGGCGCTTGCGGGGCGCGAGGAGGCCAGACACGAGCGCGCAGGACGCTGCAATCGCGCCGCACGCGGCGATCGGAAGACCTCGGTGGGCGCGCACGAGAGGTCACTCCGGCGAGGGGTCACTCTCACGTGTCGTCGACAAGGGCAGAGGACGACCCTGAACAACAACTCCTCGAGGCTCAAAATCAGCACGAACGTCCGACCCGGAAGAATCCCCAACACGATCCCTGCTCCTCTCGTTGGCTCCCCGCAGGCACCGATCACGCTCGAGATTGAATTGCGCTTCTGCCGCTCGACACCTTCAACGACTGACGAGCTGAAGCCGGCGAGCGGCGGGAGAGCGCGGAGGGCGCGGAGGGGGCCTCCGCGCGCCTGGCTCTGCCGGATCCTGTCGCGCTGCGCGAGGCGGTGCCTGCGGCAGCCGCCGGGGGGCGCCAGGTGCGGGGCGGGAAGTCACAGCCGGACCTCTCGAGCAGGGACCGACCGACCCGGCATTCCTGTAGCCCTACCACGACATGTTCGTAGAACCCCAGCATGTTCTAAGTGCAAAAACCATGGTCTTGGAACATCAACCCGATGTGTTGAAGCAAGACAATCTCAACGAGAAAGGTTCGAAGAACATTTCGTGAAGCCACAAAAGGTTCTTAGAACATTGTTTGGTAGGGCTATAGGCGAGCCAGGACGCTTCGCCACTGCTGGAACCTCGGACAGAAGAACATCCTTCAAGAACACGAGACCCTCCGCCGGCCAAAATGAAGAGCATTCGAGGGCACCCTGCCCCAGGATGCACAAGAACATCAACCAACACGATGAACATCAAGGTCCAACCCCGGCCCGACTGCATCCATTGAAAGGGCCCAGGGACACACAAATGAATAGACACAAACCCCAAGGTTGCCAGTGTTTTTCCATCTCCTCTGGAGTTTTTTCATCCCCTTCACCTTCCACGTGGGTTTGGGTCGTTCTATCGACCGAACGTGGGTTTTTGGTCGTTCTATCTGGAAGCCCTGGCTCCGATGAGACTGCTGGAGTTGGTTTTCTCGTATCGCCGCGGGCTCGCAGGAGCGTTATTGGATTCAAGATGATGGGCGAGAGAATTTCGTATTTGAAGCTTCGTGTTCGGGGCGGAAAGGTGCCGATCTTCAGCATATACGCCCCTCATAATGGGAAGCCGGCCGATGGTAGGCAAGACTTTTATAATCATCGGGGCAGTAGTATTGCTAGCACGTCCAGACATGGGCATGCCTTGGTGTTGGGAGACTTTAACGCTAGGCTGCACAGGCGATTCGGGTGAGAGGAGTTGATTCTTGGAGACCACATCTTCGGAGACCCGCAGGCTCAGCACAACCCTCTGTCGAACCGAAGCCTGCTCATGGAGTTATGCGAGAGAGAGGGGCTGGCTGTCGCAAACACGTTCTTCGACCATTCCGCGGATAACCAAATCACGTGCCACAGTGTGGGATCCCATCCAGGAGATCCGGCTGTGCCGCAACATTTCGGTCAAATCGATTTTCTTTTATGCGACGCGGACTGCATGAATCTGGTGGCAGACGTGTGGAGCAGCCGGGATTAGGCACTTGCTTCGCATCACTCTCTGTTGCAATGCCGTGTGCGCATAGAGAGAATCCGAAATCGAAGCACGAGAAGGACTCGATGCCAGACCTGTCAGCATTGGCCAGCGCTGCAGGCCAACATTTGTTTGCTGACACTTTCACCAACTTCCCATATTTTCCCTTATTTTCCTGGGAGTCGACGATTAATTGTGTCTGTGTGTTTCTTTCCCTCCTGACATATGCCCGCACTGTGCCAACACCAGTCCCTGGACAGCTTGCATGATACCGTGGTAAATGCTTTCGCTGCTGCCGCAGAATGCCTCCCACGAGAGGCGGAACGAAGAAAGTAACCGTGGCTGAGCAGCGCCACGATGGAGCTCATCACCAGGCGGAACGAGGCGAGACGACAAGGGGATTCAGCGATGGAGAAACGTTTTCACGGAAAGATCAGAGCATCCATCAAGAAGGACAAGGAGCACTGGTTCTACGGACTGTTGGAGAACGGCGACTGGGACCAGGTGCGCAAGCTCCGGAAGTCCCGCGGCGCCACCCAAGGGCGATGGCGGGACCTACGCGGCCAACAAGTTGATAGCGACGAGCGGGCCCAGACTCTGGCCGAGTACTTTGCTACAATGCAGTGGGCAGTGCAGCCGGTCACTGCCGTGGACGATCCGGAACCGTTGGGGCCTCAACTACCAGTACAGGCAGGCCCGATTACCAAGGCGGAAAAGTGCTCAACAGCACGTGCGCTGAAACGGAATCGCGCGGCCGGCAACGACGGCGTCCCAGCTGAGTTTTGGAAAGCAATCTGCAGCTCAGACACGCCAGCATGCGAGTGGGCCGTTCTGCTATGCAATCGGTGTTGGACGGAAGCGTCTGTGCCCGACGCCTGGCGCGAGGCGATTGTCACGGCTATCTTCAAGAAAGGCGACGTCGCCGAGTGCGGGAACTACAGGCCGATATCACTTTATCCATCGGGTACAAGCTCGACGCCGCGATATTGCTTGCACGCTTGAAGAGCGCGGGCGCCGAGGACCGGCTATATGGGGAACGCAGTTTGGATTCCGATCTGGTAGCGGAACGGCCGACGCACTGTTTGTCGCACGGCGGCTGATCGAGGACACCGTGGACACAGCGTCTGGGAGGTTGCTTCTTCTCGCAATCGACTGGGCTAAAGCATTCGACAGCGTGTCGCCAGATAGCCTCCTGCAGGCGTTGATCCGCTTCGGCATCCCTGAGCACTTCGCCGCCGCTGCGAAGGGAATCTACAACAACGGGAGCTTCCGCGTCCGGGATGCTGGCTCAACTTCCGAATATTGGCCGCAGGCGTTCGGCATATCGCAGGGATGCCCATTATCACCTTTTTTGTTCTCGATCGTGATGACGGTCCTCATGCACGACGCGAGGCGGAGCTTTGCTGGTCACGGGATGTTGCTATCCAACTCAATTCCGGTTAGCGAGCTCACGTAGGCCGACGACACCCTTATAGTCGGAGCAGAAGAAGAGATCGTCTACCAGCTGATGCAGTGCGTGCGCGAGGCCGGGAGGAACTATGGATTGGGGTTGAATTGGGGCAAGCTCGAGGTCCTGTCCGTGGGATGCGAGACGCATATCGCCCGACCAGACGGGTCAACAATTCCGCAGAGAGGGACAGTATGATCCACCTGGGCGGGCTAGTGAACGCCTGCGGCGGCAGCGGCCCTGAGCTGAGCAGAAGGATCGTCATTGCATACAGGCAATTCCATAGTTTGTGCAAAAATTGGAAGCATGCGAAGCTTTCACTTTCCAAGAAGGTCTTGATTTCCCAGTCTTGCGTAGTATATCGCCTGATGTATTGCTTGCACACTCTGTGGCTGAACCAAGCAGAACTCCGACAACTAGATGCTTTCCAAGCGCGCTGCCTCCGCAAAGTGGCTGGCATAGCGCACTCGTTCAGCCGTGTTTCGAATGATGCCGTCTTGGCCCAGTGCAGCTGTCAGAAATTAAACAGCCAGTTAGCATACCGGCAGCTTGTGCTGGTGGGTAAGGCGGCCCAACTGCCAGACGACAGCGCCGTCCGACGCTGCATTTTCGCCCCCGAGTCATTCTCGCTTTCCCGCTTGGGAGGTCGCCGGAAACGCGGCCGGCCGAAGAATACGTGGAAGCGCAATGTATACGCCATGGCTTGCAAGGCAGCCGGCGATGCTGACAGGTTGTGTCAACTATGGCAAGGGAACGCCAGTATTTGGCGTCATGCGGCACGTAATTTGCACGCGTATAGCAATGTGATTGCAGTTTGCACATTCCTGCCAACGCACCTTTGACGTGCATGGCGCTCTCTCTCTCTCTCTCTCTCTCTCACCTTCCAGACTATTCTCAGATTTTCCTGGGAATCGACGATCCGTTGCGTCTGTGTGTTTGTCTTCCTCCTGATCCATACGCACGGCCTGGAGAACCGACGTCCTGGGACCCCATTTTCTACAACGGGGCAATAATCACAGCAGGCACTGATTGGTGGTTGAAGCAGGCTGATGTGTGCAGCGCCGCACGGGGCAAAAAACTTACACTGTTAGCGTACAATCTGCGCACGCACAATTGGTGCAAGAGACAAGCCAAAGCCGACTCCTTATTGCATACCGCGGCCATGCTTTCGACGGGAGGGAGCGACAGACGACGGCGGCGACGTCCTGGGACCCCAACAGTCAGTGGATATGCCACGCATTCGACATTGGATTTCCTGTTACACATCAGTTTTCGGAGGTCTTCGGCGGTGTTCTGACGGTCTTCGGCGGTCTTCGGTGGTCTTTGGCGGTCTCGGGCGGTCTTCGGATCCATATACACCGCCTGCCGACTTCCCCGAAGGTCGACCCCCCCGGGCGGCGGTTATAGATATACCCCCGCCTCGGATCCAGGGGGGGGCGGGTAACGCGCGCTGTACGAGGGGGAGATTGTTGCTCCGTGTGTGTGTTTCAAAATTTCCCCACATCCTAACTGGGGTTCTTGTTTTCTCTGGACACCCCGCGCAGTCCTCCCACACCCCCTCCCTCTCTCTCTCTCTCTCTCTCTTCCTCTCTCTCTCGCCGTCATCATCATCAATCATCACCACTCATCATCATAGTCATCATCCTGGTCATTACTACCATCATCGTTCGATCACTCACTCACCCACTCATCAGCATCAGAATCACCATCACAATCGTCATCATCACTCATCATCATCACGATCATCACCCTCATCATCATCACGATCATCACCCTCATCGTCATCATCATCATCATCATCATCATCATCATCATCATCAGCATCGTCATCATCGTCATCATCACCATCATCATCATCATCATCATCATCATCATCATCATCATCATCTTCATCGTCATCATCATCATCATCATCATTATCACCATCATTATCAACCATATACCATCATCGGACACCATCGTCATCATCCCATCATCAGCATCATCATCATCCTCGTCATCATCATCATCACTTCCATCAGCATCATCCTCATCATCATCATCATCATCATCATCATCATCATCGTTCCCATCCCATCATGATCGTCGACAAAGACAGAGCCTCGTCTGTGAGTGAATTGCGCGGAAGTCTCAGGCGGGAGCCCCCTCCTATGGGGCCCGCAAATCACGTTACGAATCCGAGCGGGTCATCCAAACCCTGTAATTGTCGTCACGGTTGGGCTCCTGAGGCGTGAATCTGGAGGAAGTATCAATCTGGAGCCCCGTCTGTGAGTGAATTGCGAAGAAGTCTCAGGCGGGAGCCCCTCCCTCTGGGGCCCGCGCTCCACGTTCGAATCCGAGGCGGGTCACCCGAAACGTGTAACTGTCGTCACTTTTGGGATCCTGAGGCGTGAACCTG